TTGTACTAGCAAATTGGCAAATATGCTACAAAATAAAATATTAAGTTGTACCGAGGTAGTTAAAAAATTAAAAATAATAACACTCTAGTAAAGTGTTATTATTATCACGTTCATTACTCGTTATATGTTATTAGTATATTATATTTAAATATTTTCAAAAAATATTTTATAGTATAATTTCAGCAGTCACTTTATTCCTTTTTTGCTTTTCATTATATTTTACATTATTAATTTTTAAATTTCATCATAATCAACACTTATATTACATTTTTCAATTTTCGTTTTGAAAATGTGTATAGTTTATTTGTTGTGTTTTAATTTGTACAAAAGCACGACATTTACTTTTGATGTACAACTTTATTATTAATTATCTTATGTAATCTTATGTAATCTTATGTAAAAAAAAATGTTATGTTACGAAGAAAAATCTTTAAATTAACTTTCTTAACTTTTTCAGACCCATAATAGTGTTATCCAAACCATGAGTTAATTGAGTATAATTTTTGTAACGAACTATTTATATATTCATATTTTAATAAGAAATCAATAACTCTATAACTGATACTAAAATTGTTCTTAAAATGAATTAATTCATACATTTATCACTCAGAAAAAAATGTACCATTTTTAATGAAGAACAAGCGTTATTTCGAGCCTATAAAGTGTATTCATAAAAATGTGAATATTTCTTTAATTGAACCATGAAAATTGTCCTTAATTAATATTATGCCAAGTATAGTGTAATTTATTACATTTTTACTTATATTACTTATATTATTAATTTACTATAAGAAAATTGATTACATGTTTACATAAATGTATGATATTTAATCCTTCAATATATATATATATAGATATATATTTATATATTTATATATCTTTATATACACTGAGTCAAACCAGGCAACAGAACCCAAATATCTGTAAGAAATCTTGTTTGATACTAAATTGATTATCTCATATAAAAGAATCGAATAATTTTTGGTATACCAAAGAGGTATGACTGTTCTATAAAATAAGTTTTAGTTAAATGAAACAAGTAACTACATCGCTTAGAAGAACATTATGTTATTGCAATATAATATTGAATAAACACGTATTACTCTAACACCTAAAATGAAAGAAAATGCCTCCCCGTTATATGGCAGTTCGTTAATCCACCAAGAAGTCTGGAAAGTGCAATGTACAATGTACATTTTTATATCATTAAAATAATATTATGACAAAATCTTACTTGCATAAGAATAAAGAAAAATTCCTAAATACGCTACTGCTATTGGCGCATCAACATTGGTATGAACGTATGGTCCACCATAAATTAAAATAACATTTTATTTTGAAACATATTTCTTTCTACTCTCTTTGTTTGGGGTTACTGGTTTTACATACCTGGTGAATCTGTAAATGTACCTATAATGCACGTAGGTATTCTCAATTAATCAATTTAATAATAATGATTAATTTATTTTTTCATATTAACCATTATGTCAGTGCGTAATATAAAATTCTATAGTATTAGTCTAACAAATAGTGGATGAAAGATGAAAATAAAGATTATGTGATCTTATGTTAAAAATTATTTGGACTATATTATTATTTATTAATTATTACTCACTTTAAATGTCTGTCTTGAATCATCTACTGTTGTGCTTAATTTACAATTCACTTCTAAAAAAATAGCATTCAGTTTGTATAAAATGATTAGATTTTAGTATATTATTATCTATGGAATACACGCATCTTACTGTGAAAATTGAATTTCCCAATAAACAAAAAAGGATTGTGGCAGAAATAAAGAAACCCATCGACGGGAATAGTAATTCATAAATCAATTCGATGTGTTAGTATAACCACCGACAGTGGTGACAGGGTGTCGATAAAAATTTTCATAATACAAAAACAATATCGAATCTGATGCGACACACACACACACACACACACACACACACACACACACACGCGCACACGCAAATACCTATATATATATATATGTGTGTGTGTCACATATGCATATAAGTCGATACGTATCGCTAGTGATACCTTATTTATATTTTGATCTTTTTATTTTGCGGTTTGCCATCTTTCCCAGCTAACAAAAGAGATTGAAAACTGTTCGGCCGATTGCCTGAAATAGTATCTTTATGAGACTCGAACGCCAGAAACATTTGTTACCAAGCCACTGCGAGCACTTGAAGCGATTCTCGAACAATTTACATAATATTTCTTACAAATTTGCATAGTCAGATTATTTCACGGTAGAAAATCAAAAACAGAAACGACTCGTTTTCGAGAGTTAATTGAAAGAAGAAAGAAGAAAATGTATACTTTTTCACTGAGAAACGACCCTTAGTGCGATATTTTTCATCGCAATTCACGTAAGAAAATCCCTTTTTCAATATGCTTAGGAATATTACCATATGAGATACTTCAGTTGTAAATATATATGCGTTAATTCACTCACTATATTATGTAATTTACATTAAAATATAAAGCTTATATATTTATTAACTAATCTCTGTTTAAATAAATTGATTTTAAAATTCCTATGTAAGAAAAAAATAATGATTCCTTAATTATACTTCGGGTCCCGTGTTGTTAAGATATGTGAAAATTCAAAATACTGTTTTTAAATGTTACGATATACATAACATACATACCATATTAACGCAAACTGGATAAAATATTTAATTAAAAGTTATGTTTCTATAAAACAAACTCAGTCGACTAAAAATTTCACACTTAAGAGTTAAGAAAATTGTATGGAGTTATAACAACTCTTCCGTTTTGTGTGTGTGTGTGTTAAAAACAAATTTTACCGAATTCTAAATCGAGACCTAGTGTCAAAAAGATTGTGAGTAAGAGTGAGATTTAATCATTTTAAAAGGAGGACCCATTTTTACTAAACCATGAGTGGTATTATTTTGATTATTTTCTATTAGTAGAGTAGCCTAAGACATTTGAATACTCATCTTCATATATTATTATTAACGTTCCATTTGAGTTTTCATAAGTGCACTCTATAATTAACCAAATTTTGCTTATCCAATACGATCATTAAGAACTTATTTAACTCAAACAGTTATATATATATATATATATTTATATATGTGTGTGTGTGTGTGTGTAATAGAAACACATTAAAGTGACTAAACAAACAAACATGCTTCGGCAAAAAATATGAGTAAGTTTTAACATTTAAATTAACATCATACAAGTAATGACCAAGGACCTACGTTCAACCAATATACCGAATACCCACCGATACTAAATGAGGTAACACTAAAAACGAATCAATTTGAGTAATAAATGGCAGAACAATTTATTTTTAAACAAAAATATATAAAAATAAATCATACATGAATATGGGGACTACGATTTACGACACTTCTAGCAAATACAATTAACTAAAAAAAATTTTTGCATATTTCTAAGTCCTAAAGCCGTCAATTTATAACTGATTAAACAGTAAAGATATTCAATGTGATAAAAAATACCAATGAAATAAAAATGAAGCGAGTGAAATATTATAGTCCAGTAAACATTACAAATTGATAAATATTCAACTACGCCTCGCTAAAAATACATCTAACATACAGCTAAAACCTTTTGTAGCAGAAGCTAATAAGGTAAAATTATAGGTATATATGATAAACTAAACTGATTATTTGAATATTTATCGTTCAAATACGTCGTCCATACACGGCAAAGCACATTAAGTTGTCTCAGTCTACGTCCTTATGTACAATAATATCATGATATATTATAATTTATATTTAGTATTTACATTATGGTAATATGATGTATTTCATTGTTGATTTCAATAATTGGTTGACTACAACTGAGAAAATAACTAAACTATGTGGTAAATAGTATATTGTTAACAATTGTTTAGCCAGATCATGTAATTCCTACAAAAACATTATTATTTTACCAAAACTAACTTTTTTAACTGGTACCTACCAAATAATAAATATTTTAAAACTATTTAATAATTTTTACTTAACTACAACATTGAACTATCAAACATCACAATATCATGTGTTTTCTTAATGGATGATATATTATTTGCTGATAAGCAAATGTTTCCCCTCAAATAAATAACAATAATATTGTTCACAATAAACATAATATTCCAGTATTTCAGTATTTGTATACCCTTGCAGACAAATAATAAAATCTTACATAAAAAATACATTTGATTGTTTTACTTGCCTACTGCAATAAACAATACACATCGTTGTAATGGTTCGAAAAAAATATACGTTACTTTCATATGAAATATTTTATATTTATACAACTATACAGACTAACCACTGGTAGACATATTATAAATTGTAGTTGTTGACCACAAAAAATATCGTTTAAAGTAAATATTTTTTTTTATAAAATATGGATTAATATTTGTACCTAAATGTGTCTTATTTCAAACTAAAACGTGAGAAGAGCTAAACGCAAAAGTTAAACCCATTATTTCGGAATCTGTAGAATCAAATGGTACGAAATTACAAAACTTTTATCGTCAAGTACTACGTAAAGCCGGACGGAAGCCATTATTATTATTCTAATATGAGAGAAGAAACAATACTATAGACTGTATATAGTTACTGCCAACCAGAATGATTTAAATGTAGAATAGGTACAAACATTTCAATCGAAAACTACAACGTAGTTATTTTCAGAGCTAGTCGTATTTTGCTCATTGCATCAGTTATACGAATTATGAATGTTATAAGCGTCAACTCTGCAACAACTTCAAACACATTGTTTGTGTGTATGTGTGTGTGTGTGTGTGTGTGTGTGTTTTTATATTCTTTTTCGTATATTCCTTAAATCTTTCATTTGAATACGTAGTCTAATTGCAAGTGAGTTCCCGCGGAATTGTCTATACAAGAATATAATATAGTAACATGGAAATGTTTTATTCTCATGGTGCATTAACAATAATTATTGCACACTATATATGTATATTAATATATATTACTGTGTGTTATTGTTTTCAGGATACGGAAACATCACACCGAAGACCGCTATAGGTAAAATGGTTACAATGGTGTACGCGTTGATTGGCATCCCATTGATGTTAGTGTACTTATCAAGCATTGGTGGTCTGTTGGCGTGGTGTGCCCGAGGAATATTTACCAGGTAATTAATACAACTATTTATTCAATGTATGCTGATTAAATTCTACTTAATTGCAAATGCTAATTAAAACCCTTTAAATGTATACGTTCAAATAGATTTTGTCAATATTTAAAAGTTGGAGAAGACTTTAAATAATCTTTTTCATATATAGTTGTATAAAATATTAGCTGATCCTTCACGGCGTTGCCCGTGACAAATTAAATGACCGTGTGTGTGCCCCTTCCAAACTCTGTTCAATTTAAACTATTTAATATGTTTTCGATTAAAATACACTATAGGTTCTATACCTATTCGTTTGTGCACAATACATCACACACTTTCGAAGCTTCGGTAAGCACTTACATTTAGACTTTACTGAAAATTGATATCTCACACATCAATCATTATTAAAGAAACAAAAGCGGTTGATGGAAAAAGGAAAATTTACATTTTTCCATTTCGTGGAACCTCCAAAAAGTAGCTTAAGATAGAAGTTACTTAAAACCGTGATTCTTTTTTCTCGGTTGTCGCTTTTATCCATCGTCTCGTATATACATCGACGAATGGTTTTAATTTTTTCCCCTACCCACTTTTAGAGCACTTATGTGTGTAGCTCTCACGTGTCATTTTTCCTATATTTTCACTTCAATATTCAAGAATATTTATTATGTAATACGAATACATAGATACAAAAGTTCAATGTTTTTGAAGAGTGGTTTATGAAAAATATTTGATTTAAACGCATACGAAAATACGTGTCGTATAACGATTTCACTATAACTTATGAAGGTGCAGTTGTAATTTTCATAAAATATGTGTATATTATTTATTTGCTTTAGAAAAAAAGTTCATATTGAAACATACTTGTATTTTCAATATTATATCCCAGAACGGCATAGACTTTCACTCATATGTCTATTATATAATACTACGTAGGTATGTATAGTACATGGTCGATTCAAAAATAAATAGATATAGACCCGATATAGTACCTGTTTAAAGTAGTTAAGGTGTTCTTATATTTATATAATATAAACTATAATACATCGTAGGTAAGTGTCGATACATTATAATATAACTTTGGTAGGTAGGTGCATTAATACACATTTAACTATACGGTCAATTTTAGTTTGCTGTTACAGTTTCATTTTATAAACGACAATACAAGCCCACGTAGTACGCGTATTTCCTATATTATAGCGAGTTGTAACGATGAGTTGTATTGCGTAACAAATATGTGTAGCGTAAAAACAAAATGTATTAATAGAATAATCCTGCGACACACGACGAGTAAAAAATGTTCTCATCGACTGTTAAAGTTAGTATATATTATTGTAATATGTAAAAACACGTGGCTCTATAAGGATTGTAGAAAGATTATAATAATTTACCCGATTTAAGGTTCGATCTTTGTGTTTCGAATTGCGCGTCTAACTGCAATACTATAATCGCACAAAAACTTGGTACTTTCGAGAATAATAATAATAATAATCGTGGTCGGAGAGTATTTCCCGATGAAATGTGATTGTTGTCGCGAAATAATTGCGCATTGTTGCCGAATTCCGTAAGTCTCGGAATAACTGCGAACAGCAGCCGAACCGCGTACAACCGGCCAGGGGCGATTTATTTATTGCTCGCGAGTCCTTGCAACGGGTGCTGATAGCGTTCGTCGATTTCGTAAATCGTGCAGATGTGCACATGCGCAAAGAATTGATTGCCCAGTGCCCTGCTTGATTTTCGTATAGACATTTCGAGGGTCAATTAAGAGAGTAACTCCGAAAAAATTTCTGTGCAGCAATCAAACGGCATTTATTATGGAATAAGTTGAAAATATTTACCCCTTCGTTTGTTTGAGTCCAACTCATGTAAGTACACGGCCCCACGCGTGAGCAAACTATGAAGATTTTTAAGCTATTAAACTTTTTTATATGCACCTACGAAAAACGCTCTAAAACATTTAATCGTCGTCAAAAAACCCGACAAATGAAAACGGCTGATAATGTTCTTACCGTTATTAAGTTTCATGATTCGCTCTAATTTGTAAATTAAAGAAGCTAAACGTGAACTGCTGAGCGTAAATCTGGAAAATGTTACGCACTTGTGCGAGACACGCAGAAACAACGGATGCGGGTGTGGCGTCTTATTTCACTAGTGTCTTCGCCCTCTGTTTTGTAAAAACAACATTTTCTACATAATAAGATTCGGTGATAATTTAAAAATCCAATTGAGAATGGTCCATTTTTTTATTCTTCAAGTCAATTATACTTGCAAGTCCCTACCATTTACTAATCTCATCATTTAGAAACATGACGAAATGAGTTTAACGGATTTCGCCCTGGACGTCGAGGACCACTTTCAATACCATTCTCAATAAATACATTTCAGACGATTTTGAGTGCTCAATCCTAATCTGATGTATTCTATACCGATTTTACTCGAACATTTTATCGAGTAACTATGATATCGTGTACTTATTAAAGTATTGATGATCATCGTCATATGCCATGATCTGGATTAAAATCTTACGAAATAGAAAGCAACGGATCGGTTTACAGCAGAATCATTATTTTATTGATTTTTTCATAGGTTGGATATTTTTTTCTTATAGGTCCTATGATACGTGATAACTTATGTGCTAAATAAAATAATACCATATTAAATTTAGCGTCTGAAGGTATTAGTCGTCGTTTTTTGGTCGATTAGTGTGTATCCCATATTTTTTCATTACATTGATCGCACCCACTCAATATTTCTATTACATAATGAAAAATAAAAAATTATCAATAAGCAAAACTTAGAATTCGACGGTGTATGACGAGGTAATATTATAATATTGTATAACAGGTTTTTTATTCGGCTGTGTTGCAGGTCGCTATGCTGTTGTCTGTGCTCCAAGTGTGGGTATTGCTGTTACGACGAAAAACTGATGGAGGAAAAAGAGCGGCGGATGAAGTTAAAGCGCGAGCGGAAGGAGTACGACATGCAAATGAAAACGTTCTCCGGCCACGCGCTCGAACCGTACTACGTGCGGCCGGGTGACGCGGACGACGGCGTGTTCCTGAGGGTGTCCGACCGGACAGCTGCCAGTGCTGCGTCGGCGGCCGCTGCAACGTCCGATTCAGCGTCGATGGCTGCCGCGGAGCTGGCCGCGGCCGCTGCGGACAGTGCCAGTTTCGTGCCACTTCTGTTGGTCGGCTTCGCGTTCATGTCCATGTATATTGGCTGCGGCGCGGCCATCCTGCACCGGCTTGACGGCGGCGGCAAGTCATACCTGGACTGCGTGTTCTTCTGCTTCATGTTGCTCAGCACCATCGGTTACGGTAACTCGAGGTCAATGGACGTGACGCTCACCGGCACGGCCACAGTTTGGTTCTGTTCCGTCTACATACTGTCCGGCATGGCGCTTACGGCCATGTGCTTCAACATTGTACACCACGGCGTGTCCACCAAACTCAAGACTCTGTACCGGCCCGCGACGGCACAGACAAGCGACGGCGGTGGTGCGTGCTGCAGCGGCGTCATTCCGGCACAGCAACAGCAACGCGAAGACTGCGGCGTCGGCGGTTGCGGGGGCAGTATTAGCGATCTGACGTTGTCGTCTACGCGCGGAACAGCCTCTAACACCGCCGGCGTCACCGCTTCCACAAAATCCTGACACGCGAAACGTGGCCGCGGTGGCCATCCCGGGCCGTCGGCAGACCGCGGCTGCGATGACGGCGGCGGCGGCAGCGGCGGCGACGACGACAACGATCGCCACCACCGCGATTGCTGTGCTGCGGCGGCCGAGTGTGGCGGGCCCGCGGCCGTGATGGCCAACTATATAGGCCACAACGGGTACCCGCAACCCGAGATCGTGGCCATTGCCACCGGGGGAAAACCCAGCGGCGCAGTCAGCCCGGCTACATTGGCCGCAGACTGCTTCGATATCAAGTTCGGTAGCGTCCTGCAAGAGTCGCCGCCGCCATCCATGTCTGTAGTCGACCTGACCAACTTGGACACGATCGCGGAGGCTGATGATTCCGTCGAAATGTGAAAATGCGGATCTCGGTGCCTTTTTTGAAAGAAAAAAAATGTCATACGTTGTCTGCTTTATCCGTCGTGGCATAACAATATCTAATATTATTACTATTATAATTATTATTATTATCTCATCATTATAATATAATGCGACTTGTATAACAAATTAACAATGTATTAATCATGTTATCGACGTTTTACGTCTAATGGCCAAGCGAAAAATATGTAGGTACCTAACTAGTTATTTCTACTAACATATGTAATCTGGGGTAAATTCTTTACGGGGGGCAGTCTGTGATAAAATTTAAAACCTATGAAGTAGAAAGACACTATTACCCACTCAGTAAAATATCTTAACGGCAATTACCTCCCTTGTCCCCTAAAGATTACGCATATGCTTCTACTGGCCGATGTGCAGTGTTAGAAAAAGAAAAAATTGTTTACGTGCATTATTGGTTTATGTGACAAGGCTATAGCAATAAACTAATTATAAAACTTCTAAAATTTAGATTTTATTTTTAATGAACCCGATGATAATGTTTTAACCAGAATAACAGACCGGCGATAGATTATTATACGTTTAACCAATAACTGTAATACTTCACTCTCTAATTGAGGATACCCATTACTCAACACGTTTAGTGTTAAATAATGTAAACAATTGCTGTTCCAATATCATTATACCATAATACATTAGTAGTCCAATCATTTTAAATATTGAAGCAATAACTCCATCCAAATATTTAAATACACGCGTTACAACTTACAAATGATTATTATTTTAACAGACAAACGCTAATAATTATTAGGTACATTTTTTATTACAGTCTAGAACGAACCAATAATTTTTATGATGATCCTACACAAACAATTGCGAATTAAATGATTTTTTGAATCAATATTGATAAAAATCTGTTCATCTCTTAGTACTTTTTTTATAAAACTCTCATTTAATGTCTGTAATTTCAATGTGGGTACACTGAAATATTTTCATTCTTGTTTTAAATGCAATAAAAGTAAATCTAAAAAGAACATTGGCAAAAATATAATCACGAATTCCAGTACTCATTGTAAATAAACCGAACTTATACCTAATAAATTAGGTAACCCACTCAAATTACCTTACTGTATTTGCAGTACCTAGGTATTCGATAACACAATAGTAACTGGCTATAAATCCACAGACTTGTTATTTCGTTTAGAAAATAAGGTATGCATTCTGTTAAATATTTCTTTGAAATGTTATGAGTGTTTTAAACTAATTTTACAAGCAATTGTGACACTATTTTCCCACCCTGAAAAAGATACCTCATTTATATATTTTTATAACGCTCAATATTTTTCTTTGAATTTATTTTAGTAAGTGACTAACAGATTTTTTTTCATTTCCGAAAATAGCATTTGTTTGGACAGCCCGGCATGACTAAAAAAAAATCCATAATAAATTAAACATTACATTCTAAAAAGTGTATATTACCTACGATTTTAATTTAATTATATTACTAAATAATGAATTCAAAATGTTTAGTAATTATTTCACCAAGTTAAATTACATACCCATTACATTTTCACAACCTACCAAAATTATTTAATTTAAATGTTTTAAATGTTATATTGTAACAATGATATAGCATTCCCTTGTTTGTGAAATACATTACCTACCTATATCTGTGTATAAGTGTATCAAATTATTATTATGTATGAATCCAGAACATATTATAATATTAATAATACCCGTGTCGAACAATTTTCTAAGATTTAATTGTAAACATTAAAAATTCTACTTTTATTTGTACCTATTAATTTGTATTAAATTTGTATTTCTTTAAAAAAACGAATTATTGCCTACGTCAAGTTTTGATCACATATGTATTTAGTTTTTTGACATTTTTAAACATATTTAATTTAATCATTAAAACAACTTAAAAGTCGGCAATTTATGTTTTTTAGTTTGCCTAGTTACCGTCAAACAGGATTACATGAGGTTAGAAGAAGTTACTCGAGACAGTTCTAAAATTGTATTAAAAATTAAGAGACTATAAATAAAGATGTTTAACTTAACAAGTTACAAAAACAAGTGTCTTAACTAATCCGATAAGAATATTTAAATGTTCAAATTTTATTATGAAGAGTATGTAAAATTAAATACATAGGTACCATGAGTCCTTCCGACTTATTTTATTTGTGTCTACCTGCTGTCTCTAGTTTCACACAGTCTAACGTAACACAAAATGATTACAATTATTTTATAAAATCCAATTCTTCAATAGTATAATAGTGTTATTGTAGTACCGTAAATAATTAAGGTTTTTGCAGTATAACTAGATATATCTACTACACGAATAAAACTTCTTACCAAGTCGAAATAAAAAATCTCAATGACTCTAACACAATTTAATTTTGTTAATAATTTTGTGAAGAAAATATAATTGAATGTAATTAAATAACATTTAAAAGTGATGAAAAGATAACTAATAGGTAATCGGCACAAAAAATAAAATATGTTTTTAGTCCAAGTTTACCAGTTTGATTGCAAACTGTTTAGGTTTTACAATTATTTCATTATTTTACTTCCTTAAGTATGTCGCATATGCAATAATAGTTATCATTTAATCAACTGAGTGTGTTACCACTATACGTATAGTAATATTGTTGTAACGCCGATTTGTAAATTTACTTGTATTTAATGTAAAGTGTTGTAATTAGTACTAAATAATAATGTATAATGTATGATAAAATATTCATTATATCAGTTTTATAAAGTGTGATCATTTTATCAATTAGTAACTAAATTTCTCGGCCAGATTACGTTGCATTGAATTCTGACTTTTCTTACATAAGCTAGGGACTACATAAATACACATTTATAAATAGCAACTTTATATTATACTATATTTGAGTAAGCTTGTTTTTAAAAGTAATTTTGAACTCAATCACTATGGCTCTAAACCTCTAAATTCTAAAATCAAAATAATCGACTGAAATATTTAAAATTTAATCTTACATACTTTTTTTTACATACTAATGTTTAAATCCATTTACATACATTTGTTTTTTTTCGTAACATGTTACTCTAAATATAGTATCTCATTTAGATAATATTGAACAATGTATTTAAGTATGGTCAATACAATTATTTTTAAATAGTAGTAATAATAATTCAAACTAGAAATGTTGCGAACTGTTTGATATTTAACACCAATAGAAAAACAAAGTACCTATTTATGATAACATTTTAAATGCCTCTCATTCAGTACATTTTTAATTCAGATAATGTGTATTTAGGTACCCATCCTTAGTTGGTAAAAAAAGATCTGATTCAATCCAACGTAATCCGGCTGAGAAACTCCGGGGCCGCGGATACACACGACGTTTTCAGAAGCATTTCACAGTATTCCGCAGAGTTTTCCGACAGATTTATTATTCATTGTTTTATATTTGACTGACTAAAATACTTGACGACTGGGATCCGCCGCGTTTTGAACCACCAGCCCTCGTTTTCCGAAGTAATAAAAAACGCTAACTCTTAATCTCACAAGTTTACCCAGCCACGATGGGCTACACCAGTGACAGAAAACGAACCGTTTATACCCTTAATTATTGTGTATTATAATTTAGGCAGCGGAACATAATGTTGACGGATATGCTTCGTATATTATATTGTGATGGTTGCGGTGATGGAGTAAAAAACGTTGAGAAACACGAGCTGTATGAAATGCTTAGGAAAACGCCGTGTAGCCCCGGTTACTTAAAAAAATGATCGTACTGTATATTGTCCATATCTAACATATTACCTAACGATATCAATCAGTTATAATATTATTTGTTTTCAACTATGTGCATGTAAATAAAGTTGTACTGTTAAATTGATTAAAATCTTTGTATTGTTGTATAATTGTACCATTCACATGATGTACTAATGCAATTGTAAAAAGATATCCTTTTATGATAGTAAAAGACAAATGTTGTTTATACATTAAATCACAATTTACAACAATAATAAAATGGGTATCATCACAATGGATTTTTATAACTCCTTGAATTTGTTCACTAGCAGTGATTTGAGAAATAACTGGAATATTTTACCACAATCAAAAACCACTTAAGTACCTATTTAATTCATTATTTTAAAAATCGTTCTGAACGTTATTAAAAAATCAATATAAAAGCATATTATTGTCTTCATGCACGATTCCCTCGGTCGACAATCCGTATACTTAATAAAATAAGATATTTGTTTTTATTTTTATAATATCATAATTATTTATTGTTAGGGCTGAAAAACTTTTATCAGCATAAAAATAAAATTAATAAATTTTGCATAAAACGCTTAAATATATGTTGACGTGTTTTCTAACATGACGTTTTGATCAATTTAACATTTTAATATAAGTACCTCATTGCGATTTGCGGCCATTTATATTCCGAAAATTTCCATTCCTCGCAACGATGCGTCTTATCTGGCTGTTTTTCCATTTATAATCATCTCACAAATCATACTTTGATAGTAATTTAAGTAACATATATTATATGTACAGTGTACACAATACACCATACTCAGAATATATACGGAATTTTAATGCATATTCATGCATATATACATACATTATATTTACATGTAGAAAACCGAACAATATTATTGATCGTTATTTAAACCAAATATGCAATGTGTAAGTACTAAATGTGATCATAATACTTATGTTAGGTACCTACATTGTAAAATGAAACAAATGTCCTTTTGAGAACAAAACAAACCTTACTAAGAAATTTCAATGAGAACAGCCATATGCAAAGATAATTCGATTGTATTAATTACATATTAATAGGATATTTCCATAACAGATGATTCAAAACACGTTCAAATATATATATATATATATATTATATTCCCTACAAAATGATGCCACAAATAAGTAAGAACTAATAACTAAGAAGTGGAATACATAAATTTATTTTAGATATATAGTTATGTTATGTGTTATAAATATATTATAAAATAATACACGAATAACTGCACAATAGGATAGTACATTACACATGTTATGTGTTACATTTTCTACAGGTAACTTTTAAAAAAATAAATAATTAAATAAACCCGTACCACGGACTTAAAAAACCAAAAATTAATATAAGTTACAACATTAAAAATATAGAATATAAAAATCACAGTTTATTTTTTTGTTAAATAGACAAAGGTAATATTCGAAATATTGCATAATGGGTACAATTTAAAAATAATAATGTATAAAAATATTTATTTAAGTCTATTTCTATATTAATAACGAAGTGTAAAAACGTTATTGTAATACTAAGTTGATAAACAACATATGATACAATATGCAATTATCAACTAAAATCAAAATATTTATAAGCTCTATATAAAGTGATCGAAGTAAGTGCAATAATTCAAACATTACCTTTTCTGAACCTGAGGAAGATCACGAAATTTGACAATCTCTGCTCTCCCGTTGTAGGCGTAGTGGGTGATACACGACTGCGGACGGTTCTTATTAGGGTGACCTTTTTAATAACATGATTGCGAACGATTTTATTAATGGGCCTGCGAAACTGACACAATTGAGGACACATGTTGCCAAATTTTTTATAATACTTCGATAATATGGAAATTCTGAGCTTAAAATAAATGCAAGCCTGAACGAGTTAAAAGGTTAAGGTTAAGTTAATTTTAACTTTATACTTTACATTTTTATATTTCATTTTCATTAACCTAGTATCCTCCATTCCTCCCCCGGGCACTTGATTGAGTTGCTCGAGTCTCATACCACCGAGTAGTAGCCGCTTGTTTAAGTCACGCGCCACCGGTGAACAGCTCCGTCCCCGAATATTGTGAATACCATCTAATAAAATATTCCAATCATTGTATTCGGCAAGCACAACCGACGCACCGGTGATATTCACTGTCCCTATCCATGACAAATAACTAATTTTATGTAAAATATAGAGACATCATACTATAAATGATAGAATCGTCTAGTGGTGGCGTACCGCATCATGAGTTGAAAAAAAAACTTGGATAACTATTAACTTCAAACTTTTTAAAATGTTTTGTATCAACTTAACTCAACTCAGTTGCAACATGCGCAGGTTTGATGAAATGTAGAATTTGACAAGTAACTTCTAATAATATTGCAGTAATAATACACCCATTGTTATCGTTTTCTATAATTAAGTGTTTTTTTCAGATGCGTGATAAAGAGTTAATTTTACCTAACACGAATAAATACCATTCTTTGAAGATGGGAGCATAAAATGGTTATGTTTATTGTGTAGTCCAAGATTTAAGACATACTTCACGTAGTTACGTAGGTATATTCCCTAAACCGGCGTATAGACACTGCTCACTTGAAACATCCGAACGATAAGCCGATCATCAAATTGATAATCATTGAGCTCCGTAGATGGCGTCGCATAACTTGGCAACGTTTCACTTAATTTCAAACCGTGTCATTTTTTTGGATACAAAATAATATCACAGATTATATAAGTTTAATATAATCTGTGATAATATCTTTTGTAGTATAGTGTTCGTCCGCTACACCGCAATTGTTTTTCACCCAAGTTTAAGTTGTCATTAGGTAGGTAACTGTAATGAATGTACTAAATTTAATTGCAAACAGTACGAAACATGGTCCTGAACCGAGACGTCCTATATTATTTAATTATTATACATTTATATTGCTTTTATAGTAGGTAATCTATTTTACTATTAGTAAAAAGTAATTAGGTTGAATTAATTTTTCCAAAAAAAAATAACTATTTATTTAATATGTATAATTGTTATAAACATTTAATTTAATACCGGCGTACCATATTAGTATCCAAATAGGTTCTAAAGTACTAGATCCAATTTGTTATCACAAACTACCCGAGCACAGTTCCAAAAATAAAAAACACACCGTTCTAATACCTCAAAGATAGTAATTATTTGTATTATCAGATAGAATTAAAGATTCTGCTGCCAGCCGCGGAATGCGACTAGGAGTAAGTAACGGCCACAGCTACTAGCTCCTGGATGGGTGACCACCTGAGTTCATAGTAGTTAAAAACCTTGCCACACATATACTTGTTTGCTACCTACCGTACCAAACTTACCCCTACCACAGTTCATAACCCCTACAACAGCTAATGGCCTTAGTCGGTGGGCTTAAGTTCAATAATAAAAAACAAAAAAAAAATAAAGATTCGCTTCGGAATATTTAAAACATAAAAACGCGAAATTTAACTTCATAAAATGTTTTATTTTTTCAATTTCCATGATATGATCCGCATGAAACAGATAAATAATACTTTTCTTATATGATATAATAGTATCACAAATTACAGATCTGAGGAGGCGATCACACTATCATCCCTCTAAAATACGCCCCTCAACCGTTAGTATCGAGTGTCGTTGACGTATAGAATTAAACTTACGATATTATGTTTAAAAAATATTTTATAGCTATATTTTTTAACTCTTGCTATACGCAGTTCCCAAATTACTTAATACACGAAACCAATGTTTAGAAACCGGTACGTTTTCACGACTCGGTTGTATCATTGTAATAGAATACCTATTAAATATCGGAACAAAATTTAAAATTATATAAATATGCAATAATTACATTCACATTTGGACATTTGATCTAAATTTAGTTAATAAAGAAGAAAGTAACTGTGTATTACCTATTTATTAACGTGATCTACCTAAAAATATTTTTTAATTATTCAATTGTCTATATATAGGTTCATATAATATAATGAGCAGTGAGTGTCTATTATAAAATAGGTGCCTCACTATTACAGTATTGAAATTAATAATTGTATCTTAAGTCAAAGGTAATAATTGATTGAAACTATGGACCACACAAATGTTCTGGTTGATTTTATTTAAAACAATCACGCTGCCTATCGATTATTTATAAACGTATGCTCGATGTACTCTAGTATGCAGTACCAGGTCTGTAAGTCGTCAATTCTACTTGAGGGTAGATTATTTGTTGTTATTGTACCTGCCTATTAAACTAGAATATTTAAATTGTTAATTTGAATTAATCATTTAACATTGGTGTACCTAAACTTTTTATGACTTTGGGTTACAATATTGAATTTTTTATGTACCTACAGAATCTGGAGCGAATTTAACCCTGAGAATACGCAATCCTTTGATTGTGGTTCCCTTTCATGTACAAATATAGACCAGCTCATAAAGAGCATAATAAATTACACATATATGTAGCGAGAGGTATTATTAAAATAAGAAAAAACATGTTTATGAAATTCTTTACGAGTGCTCAGGACGGCTACATTCTTGTTTGATGTTCGATTATCCTTCTCTGTGCAGCAAAATTATTATTATTCATAAGTATTTAGATAGTAATGTGATAATGATAAGTGGTTTTCAAATTATGATCTACACATTTTGGGAGAGATCCGAAAGATATACACCGTATGACTGTATGAGTATGATCATCTCACATTAGTTACATCACACAGTGACATATATGTACTATTCCATCTCTGAAAAATTGGACATATTATTCTTATATTTTTTATATGGTATTAAATTACTTCGACGTGCTCAAGTTATTTCCATTTAATGGAGACACACTCATTATTTTAAAAACTATCAACGTAATATTTTTTATATATTTGTAAGTTGTTAAAAAACATCTTTTTCATCTTAATTATTTTTACAATTTTTATTAAAAACATGCATTTTTAATTCTTAATTCCAAAACACAGTATTTTTTGGAGGACTTCGATACACAAAAATTGAAATTTGGACGAGTAGTTTATAAATTATAGTAGTACTTATTAAAACTATTGATGGACGGAATAGAGTAGTAGATACAGGAATAACCTTCAAAATGTCACTTCTCTGCTCATCTAATCTTGAATTCATATACATAGATAGGTTGGTTGGTACCTTACTAAAAAACTCCTTGTCCGGAATTTGATTTGTATAGATTGAAATACTTTGAATACTATTCTGCTTCAGAATATGAAGTTAAAAATGT